TGTGTGCCTTTGGCAGTTTGAACGTTTTGTTGAAGAACCGTAGTAGCTATCGGTGAAATTTCAACGCGTGGAGCATCTCAGGACCCTAAGTCTGCTTTTTGTGTACTTTCGGGGTAATAATGTGGCTTTTTTGGTAGATTAACTAAAAGGTGTGCGTCTGGTGCTCTGAGGAAAGATCAGGCTGAATTTACAATGGGCCTTAATGGAGACATGTTGAACGTTTTTGTCACTTCACGCCCTCAAGAGGCATTTTTTTTTTTTGCTTAAATTTAGTTTTCCTACCTTTTTCATGAAAAATGATGTCCCAGGAGTGTAGAGTTTGGGAGCTATGCCAGGTTTAAAAAAAATATTTAGGCAAATTTCTAGCTCTCCTCCACTCTAGCTGTGACATCACGCACTCTAAGCTTTAACGAGCTGCGCAATACACACTAATGTTAAAATCTAAAGAAGGCCTCTTTACCAAGGTCTGAACAATGTTTAATAAAAAGTATGAATCTGATTTAAAAGTTGTGCATGTGCAATACGAATAATGTCAGAAAGATGTGTAACATCTTAAAGTTGGAATGAGGTTTCTGAGTGAAAGTATGAAGGAACAGTTAGCAGTTGAAGTCGCATGAAGATTTTTCAAGTCTGAAGAGTTTCTCCATTGACTTCCATGTTAAAAATGTGTTGAATTATGGGATGTATCTCTAGAATTATGAAATGTATAAATGTGAAAAGTAATAGCGGTCGATTCCTGATCGAGCTGAACGTTTTGATGTTTGAATGGAGTTTCTGCGATGTGGAATGTGGGAGAAGAAGAGGTGCAAAGAAACCCGGCGGAATAATAATAAAGAATTTTGTGCGTAGAAGAACAAGTAGTTGGAATGTTGATACAGCATTCCAACTAAAATATTTCTTCAAGGAAGAACATTCATATCAAAGAATATGGTTACCAATAATACATTAAATATAAATTAATAATTGAGACAGTTTTCTGAAGGATATTGATATTTTTCATACAATTTGTATCAAATTATATTGTTCTTTCCACAAAACTTCCAAGGAAACATTTAATATAAACTTTTTATTTTTTTTAAATGCAAAAGTTGCTATTAAATTATTTTCTGATGATTCCTAAAACATGATTCAAAGGTTATAACGAAAACCATAATAAGAAAACCATAATGTTATTGGCTAGTCAACTGAACTTTTCATCTTTTTTAATAATTCTCTTTTTTTATAACAAAAGCAAAGAATAATCAGCAGAATGCCATAAAATAGCTGATTCTTGCTCCCCAGAGGATGATATTTTTCTTCAGAACAACTTCAAGACAAGTTTCAACTTTGCACTCAAAATATCTTATTCCTTTCTTTGGTAGATCACTTTTTAAATGGTGGGAACCTTTATCTCCTGATAGTTTGGACAAGGTGTGGTAACTCTGCAAAGTTTTGGCTGTTTTCATGCACAGGACGCAGGTGTTTTGAAGGATGGGGGCTTAATGGCATTTGGTGTTTGAGTTTTCCTACCATGTCTTCAGAGGTGAGGAAGGTCAGCCTCTCGTGGATGAGGGCAGCCTGCTCGTCGCTCATCACGTACTCCCCTCTCTTGTCCCCCATCACCAGCTCCGACCACATCGGGCCCTCTTCACGCTTCTGCAGGGTCAGCTCCAGGCTGAGGACACATGAGCACAAATATCAATACTACTCATTCAAAGAGCTAGTTAGAAATGAGTCATATAAATGTAAATGCTTAAGTGTGCGTGCATGCAGCGTCAGAAAGCCCACATTCTGATTTCCTATTGGTTCCACACTTTCAGGAAATGCCAGAGAGTGCTGTGTTTATGTACTTCAGAGGAATGGGTTCTTAGAATGAGAATGATGCAATCAACGAGAAAACATCCAATCAGGAGCAGTGTGTAAAATGCTGTTTTGATGAGAAAGGTCAGAGGAGAGTTAACCAGGCTGAAATGACTGATCTGGTTTGGAAAAAGATGATTTAAGAAACAAATAAATCAAGGGAATAAAAACTGAAACATTACAAGCTGCAACCATTTTATCTTAATGGTAGAAGCCTAAAATGTTTTACTCTGTGCCTCATAGAGAAATTATTTAAATATCAATATCTGCAAACATCTCACAGCGTTTTATTAAATTCAGTAACATGAAGATGTTTACGTTTATTTTCAAGCAAATTTAAAAAACGATGTAGGTTTAGGTTCTCAAATGTGAGATATTGAAGTTTTGACTTTGTTATTGACATTTCATTAATTTGCATTTGGCTCCAGGATTTTGTGACGGGCATACTATACAATTTGTCACATTTCTAAAAAAAAATTACAAGCACATCATCAGTCACATAAGACGTTTTGTGAATATTGTTTGTTGCCAAATTACTAAAATCATATTCAAGCATCAATCATTGCTTCTACGTGGCTAATATTTCAACAATTTGCTGTGAGTTACGCCAACACCTACTGTAGGAGCCGCATTTAAGTTTATTTTGATTTATTTGGAACCTTTATTAATAAATGTTTCTGTCTCAGTGAGAGGTGCGCTTTGCTCAGGTGAAGGGGGCGGGGCTAAAGCTTTAAATTGGAGGTACGGTGTGTGACGGAGGGCGGCAGGCAGCAGCAATACCGTCATTGACGCGCAGACGCAGCCTTATGTTTAGTAGAAGACGGATTATTAGGATCTGCTGTTTAAGTTTACATTAAATATTGTTTTCGTATTTTGTTTTTGCTGGAAAATAAACATTGAAAGAGCAACCAAAACTTCCATTGGATTTCTTACTGCGAGTCTGACACTGCTCCCCAGCCCCAAGCTCTACATGTGGTTAAGAAAAGGAACCTTTAAGAAATAAAGGAGTTACAAGACAAACTTTTGGATTTTGGCCACTACACCTACAATACGTGCATATATAAATATTCAAATGATATGCTACTTTGATGAGTCTGCATAATGTTATTATGTTCTTCTGCACATGAAATCTATACACTTGAATCTGTTGGACTAGCGGGAGCGTCGTGAACTCAATATCAGGACACGAGCCAACTCATTAACTCTCATTCTTCTTTCACTAAATGATGCTAATGAAGATCTGTCTTTATGGATTCAATCCAAATTATGAATACATTAGAATAACATCTGAATACCATTTTCTTCTTTTCCTTGTAATACATATATGTTTGCACAAGTGCATTTTGCCCAGGGCACTCATATTAATCTCTCATTTTCTCTCTCAATCACATCACACTGTTTTGCATTAAGCATGAACAATATTACAACTTCTGTATGTTATCATATTTTCTGGTACTGAATGTATCATGCATTATGGTCCTCTGAATAAGGCTATATGTTTTAACTGCATGACAGAAGTGCACAGAGCTACATGTGCACAATATGCAAAAATGTCCCTGTGTCATTTAGCCAAATAATGACTCTAAAATAATTTAACTTTAATCATTGTGTAACTTTTCCCTCAAAACTTTTATTTTTCTCCATTTTCATCTTTGTGCAAAGCAACTTCTGTTTTTGAAAGTGCTATGAAACTAAATGTATTTCTGTTGCTATGCAAAACCGTAACTAACACAGTCTCTCCTGGGAATAGAAGTCCATACATGACTCTGAAACAACACATCACGCCATGTGAAAGCATTGGCAGACTAATGTAGCTAAATATATTTTCAAATGACAGATTTCATATTGTAGACTCCATCAAATGTCTCAAATCAAGACATTACAAGTTGCATTTGAACGGGTCCAGGGACACAACAGTGAGGCTGATTTATGGTTCTATAGCATATTATCAAAGTCCAGTATTGAATCTCTTATTACATAAATAAGATGAAGCTCTCAACATTAGGTTTAAATGATAAAAAGCTGAGAGATGAAGTTCTCTTTTTGCCTTTTGTTGGCTTAGAGGGCAGAAACACACAATAGCATCGAAAGAAGAATGTTTCTGACACATTCAAATAACAGGTGCTGCTTTGAAACCATATTTTGCAACGTTTATTGTGTACACAGGACATTTGGCAGGCTGTGCGGCGCAGTGGTTTAGTGTGTTGGTGTTCGGATCAGAGGAGCACAGGTTCAAACCCCACTGCAGTCAGCATGTCGTTGTGTCCCTGAGACACTTCGCCCCAAATTGCTCCTGTGGGGATTGCCCACAGTATTGTATGTCGCTTTGGATAAAAGTGTCTAACAAGTGACATGTAATGTAAACGTTACAAGTGTGACCAGTTGTGGGTGTCAGGCATGAGTCATTATCATAATAGGAATATTTATAACAGGTATTTAGAGCAATGTTATACCAAAATGTAAGCCAAACGTCCAAATTATT